TCCTCATCGACGGTTCCCCCGTCTGCCTGCCCCGGCCGGGGCCGGACACCCTCCCGGCTCTCCGTGTCCGTTTCCATGTGGCTGAGCTCACTGCGCTCATCGTCCGCCTCCTCCCCGCGGCTCCCGGCCACCGAATGCACCTCGGAGCACAGGCTGCGGTCCATGGTGGACAGGGTGGAGTAGCCTGACACGATGGAGCGGGCGTCCGGCGCTGGCTCAGACCCGGCACCCCCGGGCTCCAGGGAGCTCTCCCGCTCCATCCCAGCTGGGCTGGGGGCCACCAGCTGAGGGCCAGTGCTGTGGGGGGTTTTGCCGGGCCCCGGCGGGGCGGCTGCAGTCCCCTCGTCCTCCTGCTCCCGGCCCGGGGCATCCCTGTGCTCCGCGTCATCGTCGGTGCTGCTCCCGACACCCTCGGCCTCTCTCCTCTTCTTCCTCTTGCGGGCGGCGGCCGAGACGAAGGGGATGGCGAGGAGTTCCCGGTGCGGCGGTGCCTTCCGCGACGGCCACGTGCCCTAGGAAAATGGTGACACTGGGGTTAGGGATGGCGGTGCCAGGGTTAGGGACGGGCTCAGTGCCCCAGCAATCGCGTCCCTCCCTGCCAGCCCCCAGCCCGGGACCCTCTTACCTTCGGTTTGGCAGAGCCGCTGCGGGTTGAGCCTGTAAAGCAGAGCGGAGAGGGGGGGTTAGCCAGGCCCCAGAGGTGGGCATGTCCTGGGGAGGGGGTTCAGTGGGTAGACCTGGGGGATGCTGCTCCGTTCCCCCACACTGGGATGGGAACATGCCAGGGCCATCAGACCGGCTGGCCCCTGGCAGGGACACCAGTGCCGAGCAGGTTTGTGTGCCGGCAGCTGCAGGAGATGCCGGGAGGCTGGCGTGGGGGGGGCTCCGGTGGTGCACGGGGGTCCCCGGCACTGCTCGCCCACTGCAGAGCCCCAAGGTGAGGAGTGGGGATAAAGGGGGGGACACACGCAGGCACACACAGCCAGGAAACACAGCCAGGACGCCAGCAGCAGGACCCCAACCCTCCCACGGCCACGGGGCACAGATGGGACCAGGGCTGGGTACAGCACTGCCACTGCCACGTCACCGAGATGGGGCATAGGGAGCTGGCTTGATACCACATCCAGCCTCGGAGCGGGGTCTAGGACGGGCTGTGACGGAGAGGGCTGGGACAGGTCACGGGGCTGCCCTGGCTCCCTGGGGAGTTAGGGGACAGGTGGGGACACGGGGGTGACAGGCAGCCCTGGCTCCGCTGCCGTGGTGTGAAGGACAAGGACAAGACAACAGACACCCTCTCCCACCCCGCATGCCCCGGGATGGGGTTAGCAGCTGCTGACAACGAGAGAGGGGGAGGCAGAAAGGGGGTGCTGACCCTCTCCGGGGCATCGGGACCCCCATACCCCGGCGTTTGGGTGTGCCGGTCCCAGGACACCCAGCACCCATCCCTGCCAGGGGATGCCAACAACAGCCCCGGTGCCGCTGCAGGCACTGGCCAATGATGTGGGAGAACCAGGGTTAAAGGATTTGGGGCTCCCCAGGGGCTCGGCAGCCCCTCCTGATGCTGGGGACCCTGGGGACAGTGGCCGGGCAGGTCAGGGCCCCCTCCCCTCCCGTTCCGCTCCCCCCTCCTGCTCCCAGCTCTCTCGTGGTCACCCGGAGGAGTTAGTGCATGAGCAATGCACCCAGGATCAACACTGTACCCGCTCTAGCTCTCGAGGAGGTCCGCTGGAGGTGGTAGTG